ACTAATGTGAAAGCACCTGTCCCAGATCCAAGAAAAACGCCAATATTACCAATACCATAATCTGCAACTGCAACATCTAAATTTCCATCGTGATTAAAATCGCCTGCATCAATACCGATCAGTTGTGATTGCGATCCGAGCAGATATTTCGCTACTGGTCCAAACGTTCGATTACCGTAGCCGAGCAAAACTCCAATATTACCAGTAATTTGATCAGTGTAGATAATGTCTGGATGATGGTCATTATTAAAATCATTCACAGTCAAACATCGTGGTGACGCTGGGCTTCCGACAGAATATGTCACGACATGCATAAACGATCCATTGCCATTTCCATACAGAATACCCAAGCTTTCATCATTGAAATGTGTAAGTACAACATCTAATTGTTGATCATGATCTAAATCAGCTAGAGCAATGCCACGTATATCCGCTTGGCTAACAGACGGGTAGTAAACTTGTTCCTGAAAACTCCCATCACCGTTACCAAGAAATACACCAATACTGCCCGCACCCGAATTAGCAACAACAAGATCGAGATATGTATCGTTGTTTACATCGCCTGTAATGATTTGGTAAGGAATAGCTCCACTGCCAGCTGAGTAGGTCGTTGGAATTTCCGCTTGTACCATAACGTATCCAATCAGTACCACAATTGCATTTGCACCGTAGTTCGCTATTGCAACATCCACTTGACTGTCATTGTTAAAATCTCCAACAGTTAAACTAAATGGAGCTGAATCGATCCCAGTCGAATGCATTACAAAAGATGAAAAATTTCCATTATCTGATCCGATCAATATACCGATATTGTCTGTTCGATAGTTTGCGACAACAATATCCAAATGTCCATCTCGATCAAAGTCGCCAGCTGAAATGGACTTTGGTCCTGTTCCAGGACTCGTCGGATAGATTATTTGTGACCCGAAAGTGTCATTACCACAACTGAAAAATACACCAATATTGTCTTTACCCGAGTTCGCTACCGCAATGTCTAGTTTTCCATCATTATTAAAATCATGGATGGTAATCGAACACGGGTACGAATATAGGCCTGTTGAATACGTTTTCTGTGATGCAAAATCTCCTCGACCGTCGCCAAGAAAGATTCCAATATTGTGCGTACCGTAATTAGCCACAACAATATCTTGGTTTTCGTCATCATTCAAATCACTAATAGCAACAAAGTAAGGAAACGAATCATAGCCAGTCGAATAACGAACTAAATTATTGAATGTTCCATCGCCATTACCAAAAAATATACTTATATCATGTGTACCATTGTTTACAACAACAAGATCTGATCGACCATCATTATTCAAATCGGCAATAGCTAACGATACCGGACGAGAGATACCAGTGGAAAATACTCCTTGTTTGCTGAACGATCCATTTCCAAGTCCAAAGAAAATTGCGACTGCATGCGTATCGTAATTAGCGACGGCCATGTCTAAATGTGTGTCGTTATTCAGATCGCTCAGACTGACTGCTAGTGGCGTCGATGGATCTCCTGTGAGTAAAATGATTTGTGATCCAAATGTTCCATTGCCATAATTAAGAAATATTCCCATCGAATTCGTACCAGAATTGACCACCACAATATCTAGTGCGTCGTCATGATTGAAATCTCCCGTAGCAATTGACTGTGGATAAGAATCATGTAATAAGGAGCTACTATCAGTGATGGCTCGAAAATTCGATTGACACGTGTAATCTTAAGTTAATAATTACAGAAACGTTATGTAACTAATCAATTAAACTTACGAGATTTCGGTGAATTTAAACAAACAATTACGATGGCTATACTCATAACAGTAATTGTCAGTAGAATACTTGCAGTTATGATGATGTAATACGGTGCATTCGTTGATTTGCTAACCGTTTCACTGAAATTAATAAATCAAGGATTCGAGGTGTCAAAAAACTATCAGAAAACGTACATTTCATGTGGAACGTCTTCCGGTGTATTGGAAGAATCCGGATTCCCGGTTCCATTTCCCAATATCATTTCTAAACTTTCGGTGGACATGATTGAAGTCGTATGAGATGCACAGTAACGAATACTAAACTAAACGAACAAATATTTATGAGGACACATATTCGTTTTTTCTACTTATTCCTACATATATTTGTTTTTTCTACTTATTCCTACATATATTTGTTTTTTCTACTTATTCCTACATATATTTGATGAATAAATAATTACTAATGAATATTGAAATATTTATGCGTTTATAATACTTATGTTGCATGGGTGATCGCATCTTCTGAGCAATTTTCTTTTATGAGAATATTGATTGGCTGCGATTCTGTACGAAATATTTGGTATTTTTTTACATACTCCTTTGCATGGATGATACAGCATAAAGAATATTTGAGAACTAGTAACGCTCGTCGAGGCAGACTCGCTATGCCCTCGACTGAACCACTAACTAAAAATAAAATAGTCTTATGTGCGTTTTATGCAAAAAAAGACAGAAGTATAACCTTTGAAAGGGTTCTCAGAGACTGATCTTCATTCGCCTCACAGTCTTCAAAAGAGTCAAAGGACTACTTGTGCTGCTTTTAATTATTCTATATTCCTAACTGACAATCACTCTTCACAGGAAGCAGAAGTTCGCTATAAATGACTATTATGGATTTGCACTTTTAAACATGTCCTCCTTTTTCTAAAAGAAAGATAATTTCGGTAAAACCAAACGAGACTGTATATATTTCGCATTCGACCGTCTCGGATTGTTGATACTTTGGTAACTGGCTAGATTACCAGGCGCCACTCACAACTCGCCGCTCCAAAGCTGTCCCTATCTATCATATAATTACCCGTGTGCTACTAAAAAGTATCGAAAATTAATTAGCATTCCATCAGCATCTCATAGATAAAATTATCCGCGTCCGAGCATTTAAGGCTATCTCCTTAATTAAAAGGCTTAAAGGCCTACAATNGTCCCTGCCCCTTCACCCCTCCTCCACCCAACCTCGAGCCTCATAATCCCTCCCAAACGATTTTTTATGAATTTTTGAGCATTTTCAAAAAAAATGTTTTTTTCACCTTTGACCCTGACACAGACAGACAAACAACCAAACAAACAAACTTTTTTTTATATGACCCTCCTTTCAGTCGAGGGAATTACACCAAATGACTACCCGAAACATTAAGTCCAAAGCAAACAGGGCAAAAAGTGTAGAATAAATCCGATTGGACCCCACGACACAGACGAAGGGTTAAGAGAGCGTTCATGGGGGGATCAAGTATCACTATACTAACGAGGGAACATATTTAGGTCCCAGGTCGAACAATCCCATACTCGGATCCCATCGGATCCTACAGGAATCCGATCGGATTTTGTCAGATGGTCGGATCCGGTAAGATCCGATCGGATCCAGCATCGGATTTGTTGACCTGGGGTATTCAAGCAGTTTAGATCCCATCTTTTGGTAGTAAGTAGACCCCAATGAGGTATGAAAAACCTCAAAAGGATTTGTGCCCTCGTATCGTTGTTGCCGAGTTATCATCGTTTTACCCGATTTTTGGCTTGTTGACAGGTGTTTCGATAAAATGCCAATGACACAATTTGAATCTGAAATTTTGTTTATAGATAGGTCTCACCGACGCTAGATTGGTCTGTAAATATCAGCCCGAACGAATATTTACTTCATGAGATAAGGAATTTCAAAGGCAGATCAGTTCTTTTCGAATGATTGATAAAATACAGCATTTTTTAAAATCGATTATCTAAAGAAGAAGGCATTCATTCCGGCTAATATTTATAGAACAATCTAGTGTCGGTGAGACCTATCTATAAACAAAATTTCAGATTCAAACTGTGTCATTGGCATTTTATCGAAACACCTGTCAACAAGCCAAAAATCCAGTAAAACGATGATAACTCGGCAACAACGATACGAGGGCACAAATCCTTTTGAAGTTTTTCATACCTCATTGGGGTCTACTTACTACCAAAAGATGGGATCTAAACTGCTTGAATACCTAAATATGTTCCCTCGTAGGCCAGGCACTGGGTGGGATTTTTTTTTCTTGATTTTATAGTCTCATTTTGTTCGGCATCATCGGAAACCTCTAAATCCAAATTTTTAGCCCATTTGGTTACGCGGATGAAAAGTAGGCTATATAACACTCGAAAGGTGTCAGGATCCTAGTTGAGGGTAATCATCAAACATCATTCATATAAATCCGAGATTTTTTCAATAAGAAAAATTTAATTAAAATTTTTACTATAATATACCAAAAGATAGAGCGTGAAAAGATGAATAAAATGGGCTATTTATTTCTTCTTTTCTGGCGACCTAAATTAAGTTTATTAACCAAATACTTTCACGGATGACCTTTTTTTTTTTCAGCTAAAAAGAGGATATTTTCTTTCTAGTGTCTCAGTATGAAATTTAGGCAATTTAGAAGATACTAAGCTGAATTTTGGATATGTTGTAGAACTTTTTCTGCTCTACATATTGGTTAAAAAAACGTTCAAAAAATATCTATATTCATAGAGATATTAGCGTTACACTGTTACGCTTTTTGCTGGTACCTATACGGTGATTTAGTAGAATTTGTATAATTTAATACCTAATGTACTCAGATATTTTTTTTG